TCTTGGTATCACTCCTTTTTTGTTGTTACTATAGCTCTTTCCTTCCCTTTGTGCCAACATACTTGGCTCAAACTGGCTACCCTTCTTCTAGCCAGCGAAACTGGAGTCTGTAAGGTTTTGGGTTTTTTGGGGGGGGGCTTTTTTGTTTTTTTCTAGAATTCTTGGCCCTAAACAGTTACACTGTTTTCTCAGTACTGGAACAGAGTCTTTTAAAAGAAACACACTTACTTCCAGGCTGAGGTGTCCTCCTTCCTTTGTAATGGCCACTTCCTCCTTACAGCCAGAAGGAATGATTTGTACTTCTCTGAAGATAAGAGCCTGTTTCATTTAAGAAGTCAGTATAAAGCTCAAAACTAGGACACCTGTTAATTCCCACCTTGTAAAGGGAAGCCTTTCCTTGAGAGAAGCCTTCCCACCAGCCTGGTTCCAAAGCTGCATCAGTCCCAAATAAACACACAGGAGGCTATATTAATTATAAAGCTGTTGGCCTTGCTTGTTTCTTACTGGCTAGCTCTGACTTAAGTATTTACCCCATAATTGTTAATCTAAGTATTTCTCTTACCGGAGAGGTTTCCGGGCTTCCTACTCCATGGCGTTACATCTTGACTCTCTGTGTTTCTCCTACCCAGAGTCCTCCTGGACTCCTAGTCCCACCTATCTAACTTTCCTATTGGCCAACAGTGCTTTATTGACATAATCACAGGACTTCCCCATCACCACCTCATAGATGGACTTACCAAAATAGATAGATAGATAGATAGATAGATAGATAGATAGATAGATAGATAGATAGAAGTTAAATGGCTTGTCCTGGATATTTTATGCTAAGTTACTGAACACCAAAATAAATACCCAAGGACAAGATATGGGACAAGTCGGTGCAAGAGACAGCACATACATGTCACTCACTTAAGCAGCTTCATTCATTGATTTCTATCAAGAAGCAGAAATGGTTGTTTTTCTGTCAACTTGATACATACTGTGTGTGTGTGTGCGTGTGTGTGTGTGCGTGTGTGTGTGTGCGTGTGTGTGTGCGTGTGTGTGTGTGTGTGTGTTGTGTGAGATAATCTTTAATGGAGAATATATGTGTATTCTAATTACTTCTAAGAAAAAGTGTTCATAAGGAAAGGAATATTTTTAGTGAGAAAACATCATTTTTAAGTGGAATAAACAGGTTTTTAACCATCTCTGTTAAATGTATGGTGGCAGAGGCTATGGATGCAGCTCATTTGGCATAAGGATTCCCTTGCAAGTCTGATCCTCAGAACCCATGTTTTAAAAACATGGGGCTGGGTGTGGTGGCATGCACTTGTAATCTCAGAGTTAGGGAGAAAGAGATGGACAGATCCCTGGGACTCGTTGGCTGGCCAGCTTAGTATATTTGGCAAGTTCCAGGTGGTAAGATCCTGTCTTTCAATTAAAGACTAGATGCATGGCACCTGGGGAATGACACCTGCAGCCATCCTCTGGTCTCCACACATATGTGCACATACATGCACATGTATCCACCCAAACTGTAGGGTAGCAAATGCATTAATCCTAAATAGGACAAAGTCAGGATTTATATTCAAGCATTTGACATGTAGTGTCCCCATTCTTAACTTTTTTTTTCCGAGACAGGTTTTCCCTGAATTGTTTTGGTGGCTGTCCAGGAACTCTCTTTGAAGACCAGGCTGGCCTCGAACTCACAGAGTTCGCCTACCTCTGCCTCCTGAGTGCTAAGATTAAAGGCGTGCGCCACCACCACCTGGCAATTCTTAACTTCTATGGCATCAAGTGTCCATAGTATATAAGAAGTTATCTTATAAAGCCTTATAAAGCAACTCCAAGTTTGTTATGTCAGCTTTGAATTACTGTCATTTTCTTGTCTCATAAGCAGTTGTTTCTGTTTTTTTTTTTTTAACAAACCATCATCTGATACAATTCATTCAATATGATGGCTCCCACGGTAACTGTTGGGCCCCTTTGTCATTGTGACTGATATAGATTTCTGGTTGGAACTTTAGCTAAGAGAATGTAATACTTTTATAGATAAATCTGAGCCAATAGTATCTTGGGCATTTCTGATGTAATAATGACATTTTTTTCTAAGACTAAGGTGAGAAAATGACATTGCCTTGATTAAGGTACAACATTGTCTTGTTCTGGTGGATTTTGCAAGAATGCATTTTACAGCACACCAAAGATTAACTGGAGTTAATAGATCTGAAATACTACTAATGAACTTGCATCGAGGGAAGATCAATTGGAAATGTTTAAATAGAATTATCAAACCAAGTCTGGCTGAGACTGAAATATGGAACCCATGCCAACTTATGATGATATAACCTTCAGAGAGAGTTCATGTAATTACTGTGGAGAAAATCCAAATATCATAACACATTCCAGGAACACATTTGTTTGTTTGTTTTCAATTAGATTTTTTTCTCTAAAAATCTGCTTCTGCCAAGAGTATGGCCTAGGAGAGTGCTGTGTGCTTATACTTTTAAGTCAATGGATATGATTTTTGTGTAAATATTTTTGAAAATGATAAGATGCTACTTTACTATGATTCTCAATTTTTGGTGATTGGAGGGACTTAAAAGAGTCCTGAATTAATCAAACAAGTAAATTAATCTTTCTTTAAGAATTCTGTTGCATGCTAAATGGTACATATTTATTGCCAGTTGTCGTCTTTGTCATTAAAGAAGTTGAGAGGAGAAAGTTATTAATAATGCCTGTATGCCATGTTAATTTTAAGTATGCCACATAAGACAACAGAACAAGGAGTACTTGCAAAATAGGAATTTTATCCTCATGACAAGGCCCCAGTAGAGTCTTAGGTTGTACTATATCTACCAAGGCTAGCTGACTAATAATTTTGCTCTCTCTAGCATGGTGTGTCCCTCTAGTATCATCCATTCAGTATGATGCATTTATCCCTCATGGGCCTGTGTATAACCACACATTAGATAGTGATAGCTGCCCTTTCATGTCTAGAGCTCAACATTAGTCCTTCAGAGCCCATACACTTTATAAATGCTTAATGTTAATCACCTTTACTACTCCCACTGAGGATGAAAAAAGCTATTTCCAATTGACTGAATGCATTTTCAGAATGTATTGCCATCAGTTTCAGGCAATTCAGTCTTTTTATTTGATCCAGCAGAGATTTTCTTATTTATTTTGTTCTGATAAACAGACAAAATAGATGCATGTTAAAATAGTTTAACCATTACTCCTTTTTGCAATATGAGTAAATGGCCATCTGGGGACCAGATGAGACATTCTTTACGCTTCCCTTCTAGAGAATACTCAAGGGGCAGAAGGAAAATTGTAGAGATCTGATTCACCTCCACTCTTGTATGCTAGCCTCTGTTTCACATTAAAAAGACTCAAGAGAGCAATGCTGACCTAGCATTCTGCTCTGCAGTCATAATCAGAATTTTCCATATCTTGATGATGAAAAAGGAACTTATTCGGTTGGTTGTTGGTGATCATTCTAACAAAAGGGAGTTCCATCTTTTGTTCTGTTTGCTTTATAAGAAACCATGTGGTCACTGATTAAAAAATAAATACAAAACCTTGTGTAGCTGGGTCTTGATATATCTCCAGGTTTATAGTAATCAATCCATACTGGATGCCTGTTAAGAATTGTAGAACATTAAAAGAGTGACCCAATGACCAGTTCTTGCTTCATTCATCCAAACAACATTCTGAAACCTGTGGACATACCTTCTCACAAGTAGGATTATGGATTTCACTGTTCAGAAATGTTTCGGATACATTTTTTTTTTTGCTGGGAAGTTGACTACGTTATTTTGGATTCTGGATAAAGAATTTAAGGCAGAGCAGTAATAACTACCTTCATAGTCAATAAAATACATTTTCTGAGTTTGTTGTAAATTTATTTTGTCCATTGACATTTTTTTGTTTAAGGTACCTGAATGTATTCCTTGAAACGATTAAAGATTTATAAATTAGAATGTCATGTATAATACCTTTTGTGCACAGAAAGAGTCAACACTAGGAGGACATATGTGGTGGCCTGATTTTTATTTTCACTGTGTTCTCTACTATAGCCTTACCCCTTGTCAAATGTCACTGTGGAAAAGGGCACAAATGTATAAGACATAAGGGTAATGTTAGACTTATAACCTGTAGTCCTAGATTCAGACAAAACCACATGCCACTCATGCTCCTGATCCTACTGTATTTAGTTGATATGCCAAAATCCACCATTCATTGCAATGGAATATTAACATCATGCAAATTATATTTAACAATGAACACTTGAAACAACCATTGGATTAATATTCTGCCTGATCCACCTTGTGCTTTCTTAGGAAAGACTCTACATGTATCCCCTCTGTTAGAATAAGGCTGTTCTCCGGCAGTGGTGGCGCACGCCTTTAATCCCAGCACTTGGGAGGCAGAGGCAGGCAGATCTCTGTGAGTTTGAGGCCAAGCTGGACCGACAGCCTCCAAAACAATACAGAGAAACCCTGTCGCATTAAAACCAAAAAAATTAAATAAAATAAAAGAAGAGTCACAAAAAAAAGAATAAGGCTGTTCATGTCTACTTCCTCAACACCTACTTCACTATTTGACAATCGATATGAAACAGAGACCTCTCTGAAGTTATCTCATTCATGGGTACATCTGTTGGTATCACTAAAATCTATAGTTAGAGGAAGGGTAGAGAAAATGGCACATTAATGATTTATTATAAACAGAAATCAAGTTTTTAGTCTTAGTTTGGGAGGGGAGAGGGAAGTGGAGTGGAGGGGAAAGAGCCAAACTTAAAGATAATATGAGAAAGAGCCATTTCACAATCAGTTGAAAATTAAGATGGGAACGAAAAGTACAAACACAAGCTTTTAATCCCAGCGCTTGGGAGGCAGAGGCAGGCGGATCTCTTTGAGTTCGAGGCCAGCCTGGTCTATACGAGCTAGTTCCAGGACAGCCTCCAAAGCCACAGAGAAACCCTGTCTCGAAAAACCAAAAGTACAAAGACAGAATAAAAAAAAACTTTAATTTTAATTAACATTCAATCAAATTTGTTGGTTTTGTCAAAGGGAAACTGGCAGAATGTTTGGTGAAGTAGCTCGCTTAAATGTACACAGCCAGGAAATGACAGAGCTTGGATTACAGTCGTGGCTTTCTGAATCACCGTTTAAAACTGGGGTCTAGCAAAGCCACAGAGTGAGAAAACTTACAGGGAAAACTCTGGCCAGACTATCAGAGTTTGTGCAGCCGGTTGCCTCCAATGCCAACAAGCAGATGACTCTTTGAACTGCTTTCTTCAGAGGGTCTGTAATCTGAGAAGACAGGATTAACATTTTAGAGAGATGCCTTACATGTCATCTCCCTGTTAGCAAAAGGGAACAAAGGATGCCAATCATTCCAGAGTTTGGTCCTGTCTTCTCTGGCCAGGTGGTCAGCCTGGTCTCTGAGAGTCACGGCTGGTGCCCCTTTTTCGCTGCTTGCACCTGTCCCTCCTTATTCACTGTCTAGTTAGGTCTGTTAAGTTTTCATACTCCCAAAGCCACTGAGCCTTGCATTCCTTTCAAGGCACCCTGAGTTAGAACAAGCAAATCGACCAAGTGTCAATGTGTACGTGTATGGATTCCTTCCTATAGTATTAAGTACAAATGTACCCTTATAGAATAAAAAAGTGTCCTTATCCATCCCGTCTGTCCTGAATCAATCAGAAAAAAACCCAAAGAGGTGACAGGGGTGTAGGGAGATCCAACACTGCATTTCAAAAACCTCCCAACGTGCTACTTAACAGTTAATGCATTTCTCAGAGCGTTTTGCATGCAATAGCTCACTTACTCCCTACACACAATTTTGTGAGGTGGGTACTATTCCATTTTTCGGGTGAGGACATCTGATAGATGTTTGCACCAAGTTACACTTCAACAGCTGCTTCTGAATTCGGACAGGGCAGACTGACACCTTTTCCTCAGGTGGGGCAAATCAAAGCAATGCCACAGAAAGTGAAGGAAGGAAGAAGTTTCTCAGGCAGGCAACTGGCTCTTCCTGGCTTTCAAATCTGCTTAGCCAGCCCGCCAGGGCGTCACAAAAGCCCGCCTCTCCACTACGAAGCCACGCCCCCAGGCTGGCTGGTCTCTGAACTCCCAATACTTCCCTTCTTTTCTCGGACTCCGCCCTCTTCGCCAAGAACCATTTCCGGTATGCTGGGTTCTGATTGGTCCAAAAGCCGGAAGTGAGGGCGGGCGGTGGCGCCGTTGCCGCAGTGACAGTATTGGGGGAGTGGGAAGATGGCGGCGTCGCGTCGCTCTCAGCATCATCACCACCATCATCAACAACAGCTCCAGCCCGCCCCAGGGGCTTCGGCTCCGCCACCGCCACCTCCCCCGCCGCTCAGCCCCGGCCTGGCCCCGGGACCCACCCCGGCCTCGCCCACGGCCGGAGGCCTGGCGCCCTTCGCCTCCCCGCGGCACGGCCTGGCGCTGCCAGAGGGGGATGGCAGCCGGGACCCGCCCGACAGGCCGCGATCTCCCGACCCGGTGGACGGGGCGGTCTGCACGGTGGCAACCACGGCCGCGGTCCCGGCAGCTTCCGCCGCCGTCGGAGTCGCTCCCAGCCCCGCCGGCGGTGGCGGTAACAACTCCGCGTCGTCCACTTCTTCCCCGACTTCTTCTTCGTCTTCCTCCCCGTCCTCCCCTGGCTCGAGCTTAGCGGAGAGCCCCGAGGCGTCCGGAGTCGGCTCCACGGCAACTTTGGGACCCGGGGCGGCGGGCCTTGGCCCGGGGGTCCCAGCGGTGAGTGGGGCCCTGCGGGAGCTGCTGGAAGCCTGTCGCAATGGGGACGTGTCCCGGGTGAAGAGGTTGGTGGACGCAACGAACGTGAATGCAAAGGACATGGCCGGCCGAAAGTCTTCTCCCCTGCACTTCGCAGCAGGTGGGGGAACTTTGGAATTGTGTTTTACCGGTTTGGGAATGGAGGGAGGGTGATCGGACCAGGAAAAAGAGTTACAGGTGGTAGCGGGACAAGTAGGGGCTTGGCTGGTGTTCTTTTACCCATCACCCCGAGACCTGAAGTTCGTGCCTGGGTTGGTGGGGGCGTGGAAGAGGGGATGCATGAACCCACTCCTTGGCGTTTGCAGCGGTGTGGTACTTCGACTTTTGCAAACTCCGTGTGGTGGTTGACCCTGGATATGGGCGAGCTTCAAACTTTTTCAGGTCAGAGTGTGTCTGAGACAAGTGAGATTGGAGTAGCTTTAGAGTCAATCGCCTTGTCGTCTGTGTGCTGGTTTGTTTCGTTTGACAGGGTTGTGTCTTCTTGTAGACAGTCCGAGCCAAAAGAAGTGTACGGTAACTCAACAAGTGTTTTAAGAATCTGCCATATTCTTAGTAGTAACACAAGGAAAGACAGGTGGAGTTTGTGAAATTCCACCTTTTCTAAGAAGTCTGTTGGGAAAGACTACCACCGGCCTGTCGGAGACAACAGTGATAAGGGTATTGTGTGCGTATGATAAGAGAGAGCAGCTTTCAAGTCATGCGAACTCCCGTTGTGTATTTACTGTGTCTCAGCTGACTCATTTTTTTAGAGACAAGATGATAGGCTGTTTGAGTGAGGATTTAGAAGTCTCTGGTATGAAAAATCTCCAAATAGGCACAGATTCCTAAACGCAGAACTTTACTTTTTTGTCCCTCCCACTTCTGAGCAAGTAATTATTTTCTTTTAGAAATACATAATATTTTTTATAAACCCCGCAATGTATAGCAAAACCAAAAGGGTCATAATCTTACTGCCATGGGACTTCCTGTTTTGTTTTTTAATAAAGGTAATTAGGTTTTTACTTTAAAACATTACATTTGATGTACTTTACATATGCATTATTTAAAATAGGACAGGATACAAAATGAAAAGGCACATCTTTTAAATAAAATACCAAAGACCCCTTCTTTAAATGTTTTCTTTCAAAAAACATGTATTGTTTTTATTTATGTGTACCTGTATGTCTGTGTGATTATTTGCCAAACATGTGTGCAAATTTGCCTGGGGAGGTCCCAAGAGGGCAGTTCCCCTGGAGCTGAAATTATAGGTGGTTGTGGGTTACCCAACATGGATGTTCAGTTCCACTGGGACAGTAAGCAATGCCTACCATGAGCGCTGTCTCTCCAGCTCCTTGTTTGTCTTGATGCTGTTGAACGCCAGGACTTTGCTTATGTGGGGCAAGTACTGTACCATTAGCTACATCTCCAGCTTTTGTGGACATTTCAGTGGGTGTTACTCCTTCAGTTTGTTGTGTAAACGTAGGCTTAGAACTTTATGATTTTTTTCTACAACTTGGTAGGCACTGCCATTCTTGTTTTACAGATGGAAAGTGAGGCACATGTGTTTAAGTGAACGTAGGTTCACAAAGCAGTGTACGGTGGATGTTGAGTCAGCAGTTTGATTTAGAGCTTAAGCTATAATAATGTGTACTTGGTTTTGTAATTGCAGTGAAGAGGGCCTAAGTTATGAAGCTCTGGGGAGAAAGTGGAAATCTGGGACTTGTGAAAGGGTAGCTAGCAGACTTTTTTTTTTAATCCCATACTTAGAAATAGATTTTGTATTGTCGAAATTTAATCAGAACTTTCGGGAGATGTAAATTGTGTTTGTGATCCACTAATGGGAAATGACCAGTGGTATATACTTTGGGCATCATCATCAGATTATTGGGTCTGTGCTGGATAGTTAGATACTAACTATTGAGGGTGATGAACTGGCTCGTAAGTAGGCTTTCATCCGACTAGATGGAAATTCAAGGTTCTTACTTGTTTTATGTGAATAGCGTTTCTTTTTCTTGTCTTGCTTTCCTCAGTCATTTTTTTTTTTTTCTTTGCCTCTCAAGACAGGTCTGTTGAGGCTCAAGAGTCTTCTGCCTCAGCCTGCCAAGGGAGGGCAGGGTTTCAGGCATCTTCCACTATGCATGGTTTCTTTTTCTTTAGGCTAAAGGAAGTGTAAGTCTGATTTAATAAATTATCTAAGGCTGTTTACTTTCAAGTACTTTTTCCCAAATTGGATTAGTACATTGTCTCACAAGTCTATAATCACCATCGTGCTACTTATGTCTACTTGTGCGTCAGTTTACTCATTTAGAATTAATCCACACAGAATAGTGCTCCTGTCCCAGTCATGTCTTCTGCTCTCCACAAATAGTTTGGAATTCTTCTCGAGGTTTCCTGTGAACTCACATACATTGGACTACAAATGGTGAAACAGCCTCATACAATTATTTTGTGGGTAGGAGGTGCTAACCTTGATGCAGCCTACTTTGTTTAGCTCATTCGTGGAAAACATAAAACATAATTATTGAATTTTCTAGGATGAAAAAGCATTCCGTAGTTAACTTATACTTTCATGTTTGTTTATATAACATTAAAGCTTCCTTAAGTTTAATTTCCATTAGATCTAGCCCAGGGTAAAAGTTTTTTTTAAATTTTTTTTTTCCCGAGACAGGGTTTCTCTGTATTGTTTTGGATGCTGTCCTGGAACTCTCTATGTAGACCAGGCTGGTCTTGAACTCACAGAGATCCGCCTGCCTTTGCCTCCTGAGTGCTGGGATTAAAGGCATGTGCCATCAACACCTGGCTCCAAGTTAAAAGTTAAAAGTACTTGTTAGTTGGTTATCAATTGGTTGTTACTATAGTCATTGTATTATTCTGGAATTGCTTTTTTAAGGGATAAGTAAATATCTTGGATGGAAAAATTAAAAAATTATAGTCAATAGTTCTTTATGTGATAAATACTGGCAAAACTTTGGAGTGGCAGGTGGTTCATAATTTTATAACACTACATAGTGAGGAAGTTTAAAGAATAACAGAATCTCACAAAGTATAACCTGTAGGAGTATATTATTTGCCTTTTGGAGTATGCAAAACAGGCTGCTAATTCTGGTTTGTTTGTTTTTAAGATTGTTTAGTTTTGTTTTTGAAAGGGGTTTTACTGTGTAATCCTGGCTGCCCTGGAATTGGCTGTTTAGACCAGGCCAGCCTCGAACTCTGCCTGTGTCTGCTTCTTGAGTGCTGAGATTCTAGGTGTGCACTACTGCACCAGGTCGGTATAGAGCTTTTTAAGTACCACTTTAAAGTGAAATTATGTTAATTCATTTCCCAGTAGTGATATATTTTTAGTAACAAACTGGTATAATTATGATGAAATTTCTTTTTACAAAAGAGTTCAGATGAGGTACTTTTTTGAAGGTTCAGTTTTGAGATCTCGGTATTTAGTATTTATTTTAATTTAAAGCTTAGTTTTGTTTTTTAAGATTTGTATGTGTGTGTGTGTGTGTGTGTGTATTTGGGGGCATTACACGTGTATGTGTGTGTGTAGGATCACACATGCATGTGTGGGGGGATTACATGTGTATGTGGGGGGGTCCCCTGAGGGTTTTGGATTCCCTGCAGCTGGAGTTGCATGTGGTTGTGAGCTGTATGAAGTGGTGACAGGGAACCTAACTTGAGTTCCCTGGAAAAACAGCTGGTGCTTTTAACCACTGAGTCATCTTTCTAGCCCCTCATAGTGTTTACTTTTCTCTTTCCTTCCTTCCTTCCTTCCTTCCTTCCTTCCTTCCTTCCTTCCTTCCTTCCTTCCTTCTTCCCTCCGTCCCTCCCTCCCTCCCTCCCTCCCTCCCTCCCTCCCTCCCTCCTTCCCTCCTTCCCTCCCTCCCTCATTTATTTATTTATCTATTTTGAGACAGGGTCTCTCTACGTATCTGTGGCTGTCCTAGAATACATCCACTGTGTAGATCAGGTTGTCCTTAAACTCACAGAGCCTCCACCATGCCAAGCATAGTATTTACTTTAATATGTTTGATGGAGACGTCTGTATAATTAATTAACATATTTCTTGTGTTAAGGCATTTTAGTATCAAAAGTAGAATGTATGTCAGTTTTGCTTTCTTGATTTGGATAGGACCCTGTGCAGTACACACTGAAGCCCACAAAAGTCCCAGCTCATGGTGTCTTCTAACCTGTGGCAAAAAGAAAGTCCAGTGCTTCAGTCATGGAGTGGGAATCTGTGCGGCCTGTGCCTTTCTGTTCTTTATTGCTGACAGCAGCCTTGGTTGTACTTTATTTGGTTCTTAATTTTCTTAGAGCCTGAGTCTTACTACTTTAGGTTAGGTTGACTCGCTGATGCTCCTGCCACAGCCTCCCAAGTGCTGGGATTATAGGCATGTGCCACTACATTCAGCTCCTCAGGATTGAAAGGTTTGACTGCGTTAAAAGAAAGGAACTTGCTTTGCAAATTCTTTCCTAGACTTAAAAATCGCTGGTCGAAGTGTTTGTACCTTGTGTTTTCTTAAAATTGTGCATGCAAATGACCTCTTTTTATATAGTTCACAAGGGGCTTTGAGTTAAGGAGATGCATGAAGTGTCTTTCTCTTTTGCCTCAATGGTGTCACTCTTTGGAAGCAGACGATTTAAAGAATAAACTAGCTGTTTGATGTCATCACAAACACATCTCCAACAATGAAAAAAAAGTAACAAGCAAACTGTTTTAAGACTGCTTATATTTCTGCCTTACACGGTCTACTTAGATAGTCCTCAGTGTCTTCAGATGCCTGTCTGTGTGAACTGCAGACAACTAAGTGCCCCAAATAAGCTGAGTTTGAATGCATACAGATACCGTGTGACTGAGATCCATATAGAAAGTCATCGCAAAGTCAGGAAGCTCTGTTTCCTGGATTAGCAGTTATGTTTTAAACTTCTATAAGAGGAATTATATACAGTTCACACTTTTCTGTAAGACCTGCCTCTCCCACTCCTTGTAATAAATCAATAGTTTCTGCCCATGCTTAGTAGATTTCATTCTACCAGCGTGCTATCATCAAGCTTGTTCCTTTCTTCTATTTTTGGACTCTTAGGCTGTTTCCAGTTTTGACAGTTATGAATAAAACTGTTATGACATAA